AACATCGACCAAGATTTAAGAAAAAACCTCTGATAACGTTCTTCTCTCCGCTTTGTTGCGTGAGGCATTTTTTTTAACCTTGAAACACATCAAAACTTAGGCGTTACAGATAACCTTTTCACTTCGATTTTTTAACTCAAAGGCATTCGTCCTTAAAAGCATTACCGCAAAAATGTGCAAATCGAAGGTTTTTTGTCTGCTTGATGAAAAGAATCAGAAAAACCCAACCCACAATTTACAATAAGCTGCTTGAAAACAATGTAGTTGTCATCAGATTTGCTCTGCTATTGTTAAAACTATATTTAATTATTTTTGTTGGGGTTATCAATTATCATTGCTTAAATGATATTAAAACAATAAGGGATTGAAGATAAAGGGAAGATGTTCCTCAAACGCACCAAAGTATATAATAGAAAGTGTAGGAAAGTTGGCCAACATTTTCTTTAGGAGGGAAACACTTTTTCCATTGGATCATCGTTTAGTCGAAGCAAAATACCATCAAGATATTGATGTAAAGCAGAATTTTTCTTTTAATTGTTTATGTAGAACTAAGCAATTAATTCGATCCGGATCTTTGTTCCTCCGTAAAAGATATACTCTGCACCATGATCGAAAATTTCATTACCACGTCCAAATCTCAGTTCCTCAAGAGCTGTGTTTGGAAAATGAAGAACCAATTGTTTAAATACCAATTCTGCGGAAAACAAATTGACTTTTTGTGGTTTGAAATTTTTTACCCGCAAACTGGTGCCCCTTCTTTGAGAGGTAAAATTGACATCGGATAGAACTCATAAAAACGCCCACAACAAAAGAAGCAAAACAAAGAATATCTCGCTGGGCGAGGTAGATTGCTTGTATCGGAAATGTTACAAACAACAACTAACAAATATAATTAATAACAAGTACTCACATACCATCACAGTAAATTATCACCGCGATGTGAAACGCTCGCTGAGTCTAAAATTTGAGCATCCTTTGCTAAAAAGGTTGCTCGAAATTCTATGAAGAAAATAAAAACTATCTAGTTTGAAAAATATTGTGATATCAGAATTTAAGACGATGTACTGATGGAAAAAAATCCTGAAAACTAAAAATAGCTTTTCACTTTAGCTCTGCACGTGCCAAACGGACCTCACTCACTCTCCACGCTTTTCATGGATAGACAATTTACAAGCAAAAGTGTTTATTTATCGACAGCAGCTCTCGCTAAATTTGTAAAAGACGATTGCTTCGAACCTTCCGTTTATTAGAATGTGGCTTGGCATTATATTTGATGTATGAAAAGTTTTAAAACTTAAACTTTACCGCAGAGGGTGATTCCAGCGTAGAGAATCACGATAGTTTTCGTGTTTAAACTTTTGAATTTTTTCCCCTTTTAACGGAAGATCATCCAAGGACTTGACTGACTCTGAACAGAAGTGAAAGAAATGTGAACAGTGCCCTTTCATCACATTAGTAAGCTTAGAATTGTGATAATGATGTTTTCAACTAAGGGTACGGATATCATCTACAGTTTCCAAGTCTTCTTGATGAACTGTTGCAAATTGGAGTTTCAGAATGATTTACTCCGTTTTAAAAGAGTTTTCATCAATTTTTGTCGACTATCTTCGCCTTACAGTTTTAGGTACTCGCCCTAAAGATTCTCTAGTTTTATTAATTCTGGGGCACTCTGGTGATCAAATAAATGTTTGGAGGAGAACTTTCGATAGATGTTTCGTGATATGGAAGTCGGGCATTACAGAGTGGCTAGCTCTATTTTTTCAAGGGTCTTCGTCACTTTTGTCGACAAACTTAAATATGAACTTTTTAGATACTTGCCTTAAATATTTCCTCACGTAACTAAATCTAGGATTCTCTGAGGATCCAATAACCGCTTGGAGGACAAAGAAAACTTTCGACTGATGTTTCGCGATATGGAATAGTTAGCTTTACTGAAAATATAACCCGCAATTAATATGTCAGTTCAGCCTCGCGTCTCAAATAAAACCATTCGACCCACTAATAACACGTGTTTTGTTGTTCAAACGCTATAGTATTGAAAGGTTCTGCGTGTATATTTATGTAATTAAAAGACAGTTAGTCGTTCTTAACGACGTGCAGATATTAGCCAATACTTATATGTAAGGCAAGCTGCTGAATATCAGTTTGCTAAATAGAAACTTTAAGTTAATATTTTTGCCCCTTTTGAAAAGGGGCAAAACTATTAACTTAAGGAAAAGAAAAAATGGAAATGAGGAGCAAAGTTTAAGACAGTGAAGATTGTCACGGCTAACTCACACGGAAAAAAACTAGGCGAATTTTGTTTTAGATGCACAAGCCCTGATTCACTCGCGAGAGTAGCAATTACATATATAGGGAATGTGAAAAGTCCGTCTTCCCCGCCCAAAACAAGAACTCTATAGGAATCAAAACAACAAGAACTGAAGAACCACTTTAAAAAACAAGTGTGTAATTCGTGTAAAAACATTGTAGACTTACAGATCAAAAGCAAAACGTCACAAGTCCTATTAAAATTCTGCTCACCTTTTTATGCCAAAATTACGGTAAAACCAAGTAAAAATGCTATCGGAATTTTATTGTATGTCTTTTGATCTAGCGTGACCTTGATCAAGTGCAAGAGCTTTGGTTTTTAGTGGACTCATATCATTAGCAGTCAATGACACGTTACTGTGATATAATATGTATAGAGCAATTGAACAATGTTGTTTGTGAAAACAGTATCGAGACTTGATCGTGATTCAATTGGCAGGTGCTTTTCACTTCATTTTGAGGACAGATATCTTCAGGATTCCTGTTTAAAAAATACCTTAGTAAACTATGGTCGAAAGAACCGTGGTCACAAAGATACAAATAGCTCCAATGAAAACTTAAGCCGTGCCTTCACTGTAAAAAAGGCAAATGTTACAAGCAAGAATTCTGGAAAATCAGAAAGACAGCAAACTATTAGCAAGATTTCGTGATGTCTCTCTAATCAGTAAAGATCATAGTATATCCAAAAATACACATGGCATTATCCCATCATAAAATGACACTTGAGATCTCTTAAACAGGAAGTTAGCTTTAGGTCTCGACATTAAGACTAGACAAAAGCAGTGTCTCTAAACATCACCATCCCTGACTGAAAAGACTTTGATTGAACGAAACGATCTATCATGCACGCGTTTGAATTTAAGTTTGTGGTGCTAAACAGAAGATTACAACCTAGGACATAGGCTTCTGTCCTAAATGAATAATTAAAGGCCTTAGATTTCAACTTCTATCACTGTTTTGTTACAAATAAGGATTTCAGACCTTACATAAAGCATCAGTTTAGTGAGAAGCTGAAACAACTGTGCGGTTTAGCTTGTGTTGGCGAATGATCACTGATAGTTTGTTTTGAAAACAATCTTGGAATATTACACCATATTACCTGCTGTGAGTGAAGTAAGACTGAAGATATTTGAAGGACGGTTACTGTCACTTGGATCAATTTCTAAACCCCTTCGCTACTACGAAAGACAAAGAAGCAATTTTTCCTCACCGCATCGGTCGATATATTATCTAAAAAACAGGTGACGAGAAGTGTAAAAAATATCAACTACGGGAAAACGTCTGATTTAACATCTAATTCTCAGAAATAACATTGACATAATTGTATTATGTGCTATAAAAAAATATTATCACTGAGACCTTGGTTGAAGCTGGTGCGTCACGATATTTTTAGTCGTTTTTAACGACAAGCAAAGCTACTTTCACCTTGTGAGAAATTAAAAAATAGGATAAAAGAGATTGATAGGATTACAAACGACTACAAAATGCTAAATATTATTTGGATGAGTACAGTAAGATGGAGCAAAACTTAAAGAAGGTCACACCAAGATGGATAGCTAAGAATGAAGAGGGTTGATACACTTTCAGTGAAGATAAATTCAAAATATTAGTAATGTGAGATAGAAACAGAGGTAAAAGGAAATGATGAAAGCAAGAAGGAATAAGGAGGGTTTAGGATGAAGGTTAAAACGGATTATAAATGACTACAAAATGAGAGTGAAGCGTGATAGAAAAACACTTCTGAGACAATAATAAACCCGGGAAGGAAGAAGATTACCACAGATTGAAGATGACTTCAAAACATATTTGTTGAAAAAATAGAAAAACACCCATTCGGCACTTAGAAACAGGTGAGGAACAAAGATGGCTGAGGATGGAGGAGATAATAAAGGATTACAAATGACAAACCGTAAAAAAAATTAGATCAAACTTTTAGGTTGCGCACACTTCTGCATACTCCTTTGTTTTGGGTTCAGGGGCCCGTTTCTCGAAAGTCCCAGTAACTTAATGGGCTCGAAACCATATCTTAAAATCAAAATTTAAAGAAAGTAGAGCAGGAGGTTCTGCTTTCCTAACCACTCCATTCTGTTTCTTTAGCGGGTATTTTAATTTTGTAATTTTCAAACCTTTTGAAAACCCCATCTGGAACGAAAACAGAAAAGCTTTACGGGGCCCGTTTTAAAGGTTTTTTCTGGTGCCATTTGCGAAGGCTTATCGGCGATTAACGATTGCGATCATTGAAAAGCGTAAAGGAAGCCATCCAGAACAAAGTGGCAGTTACAATTTTCCGAAAAGATGTTGTTTTCAGAGTAGATATCAGCACAAAGCGTAAATCTGTTCCATATGAAAAATACCCATACAAAAACAGTTGCAACTTAGAAAATTTATTTTACAAAACTGTATCCCTTTTCATAGAGATTGTCTATTTAGGGGAATGACCACCTCTTTAAAAGCGCGTGCAACTGTACAAGTATGCGTAGGTACGTGATAGCGTGCGCAATGTACCATTGTAGCGCGCGTGCATTTCAAACTGGATCAACGCAAGCCATACAGCGCGTCACAATGCGAAGTTTTCAACGGAAAAACAAAAATCAAAAGCGAATCATCTATGAGAAAGTCAATTACCTTGAAGTCTTTATAACTTAACTAAGAGCCTTTACTTCTGGAGGGCCCCAATCCATAAGTTCAGAATGAGCTGGGCTAGAGACGAATGGAAACTTGATTTACCCAACACAGCGCTAAGAAAGATTTCCGAGCTTGAAAACGATGTGGAAAATTTGCGAAAGAGCAAACAACAACAGCAGTTGCAACTGGAAACCGTGTCAAACTCTCTGCAGAAACAAAAGCAACTAAACGCGGAGGAAAAAGCCGGAAATTCCAGTCTGCGACGTGAGATACAAGAACTTACACGAAAATGCTCCGACCTCGAAAACCAGGAAGAAAAATCGCAAATAGATCTTAAAGCGAAAGACAACAAGATCGGACTGCTTGAGGAACAGTTGCACAAAGCAAGAGAGAAGCTTAAGGACGAGGAAGATAAAAATTCCGAGATGCTGAACCAAGTTGATCAGCAAAAGTTAATCGCAGAAGTGATGGAAAATGAAATGGGACAGTTGGCTGTAGAGGTGGAACGGATAAACGAAACTAAAGCGCAGACGGTGAAAGACCTCGAAGGTATGTTTTTTGAAGATTCTGAAACCTCTGTTTTAAGTCTTTATGTCTTTAAATGGACTGTTTCAGTTGAATCCTTACTGTATTAGCATAGCGGATAAGAATTGGGTTTTAAGGCGTTGTTTTCTCGGAATATGCTCATTTCAATCCACATCAATATCTGCTGATGAAAATCAAACCTGATCAAGCGTGGTAAGCATAAGTTGAAAGCACTTTTGCTCTGACGAAAGGCTAACGCTCAAAACGTCATCTTTATAAACAATTTGGGGTGGCCAATTCGCATTATCAACTCATTTGATTAAAATCAAATTATCTGGTTGAAAAAAAAAAGTCCTGCGTAGGAAGAACAGAGCCAAACCAGACGAAAATTTCATGCGCTACGGACATACCCATTAAACATTTTTTAATTGTGATTTTTTAAAACATGTACATTTGTAAAAATAGTTATTACCTGATATTTTCCTGTGTGAAAATATCGCTCCGAATGCCGCCAAACCTCTCAGTCGTAGAGTATCAGGCTGTGTTTGGTTTGTCAGAAACTAGAGGGTCAGTTAATTGTTCCCAAGGAATTCCGTGGGCTTTTTCAACAATTTGGGCGCACTGAGGAGTCGCGAAGGCCACAGAAATTTCCATATGGGAAGTGTGGCTCCACGCCCTATAACCTTGGCATCTATGTATAGGAAAACGTCGGAAATATTTCATCTAAGTATTATTTGCTTCGTAGTATAGTTTTTCGGTTCCACAAGACAACAAAAGTAGCACACACACAAAAAAAATGGACTGAACTGTTTATTTGCCTAGTCTATAAACTGTGTTCTAAATGTTGATAATGGCCAAAGAGGAATCCGGATTTAAATTGCTCATTGTTCCCTCGCAGATCTTCTAAAATTGAGTTTTCAAAATATGAGTCGTCGAATGATTGAAGGGGTATTAAAAACCTGTTTTAAACAACTTTTCCACTTTTAATTAAATTGAATGATCCGCTTAAAATTTTAACATTCCATTTTCCTGTTTTTGATTACATTAGTAACGCTTGCTTAGAAAATTTGAGAACTGGTTTTAGTTTTCTGTAGAATCACTGATCTGTACTATTTAAGACATTTTGGAGGTTTGAATCAATAACTTCTGATATAATGGAACAATGTATGCTTTTTATAGGACTAATCCAGGTGGTCTTTAGAAGTATATTCCTTTCAGATAACGACATGATACTATCTTTGGGATTACTATCAGATAATTCTGACATTATCACATAAAACAGCCCGCTCATGAGGAATTTAGGAATTCTCGGTTCGGCTGAAATTAAACCATATACTTGTTGAAAGACTGACTCAGAGTTTTCAACAGGTAGTCACGAGCGAATCTAGAGAGTTCGACGACTTTGGAGTTGCCATTTTTAAAGTTTTTGTAATTGCCGCATTTCGCCAAGGTATGGTGAAACGAGAGACCACTCGTGGCAGTTCTTGTAAAGCCACAAATATCGATTGAAAGATGTTTCTTTGAAAGATAAGATAGAAAACTTATAGGAAACCAGATAACTTCAACTACCATTGCCGCCAAGAAATTCCTTCTCTCCGAAAGTAAACGACATTCTCAAAACTTTTCCACCGACATGGTTATTTCCGTTTATCAGTGTTCTTTGTAACAGATAAAATAAACGCAAAAAAAGAACACCTTTCCTTACCAGGACGAGCTTAGCGGTCTCCTCTATCAGTAGTAAGATTTCGACAACAAGAGCTTTGTTCTTATCCTATCGCAATCGAACTTCAGATAAACAAATTTTTTTTATCATACTGAGTACAGTACTTTTCAAAAAGCCCCTTGAGATTAATACCCATTAGTTAAGGATAAAGACAGCATTATCTCTAAAAAAGAAATCTCTGTATCTATTTACTGATCATGATATAAGCCGGCGAGGCGACATTTTGAATTTATCTCCTTCTGTAGAAAAATAACTTTTGCGTCTGAAGTCTTAACTGGTGTCATTCAAAAGATATTCTTTGGGAAAATTCCTAAAGTTGTAAATAGACAAATTTTAGAAAAACATTCGGGCTTCGACCGGATTCGCGCCCGCACGTCTCAGATACTATTAAATCGGGCGCCTCTATCAACTGACTTACGGAGCCAAACGTTAGGAGCAAGGCAAATTTTAGTGGGTTCATCTTTCCTGCAGGAGATTCTGATCTCAATTTCTAAATGAAATAAAATTTGCCTGGCTCCAAACGCGTGGCTTTGTAGCTCAGTTGGTTTAAGAGCCCAACTAGTATCTGTGGGGGCATGGGTTCGAATCCCGTCAAAGCCCGAACAAAAGTTTTTCAGGCTTCCTTTCTGAAATTGCTTAAATTGCATTCCATCCACGAAGATGATTTTTTTGCTTGATCAGTTGCTAGTTGGAAACATAGCGTTTGTATCTGGGTAATGAGCGTAGTCTATCGACACCTCCCTCTTTCGAAGGCTAAATTTCACATTTTTCTTTTGATTCCGATCATTTTCTGTTAAAATTGTGAATTTGGATTAGGTGAGTGGATAAATCCGTCAGAATCCTGTGTTAGATCCCTTGTAAGAGTCTGAAAATATACTTGACGATTGACACTCCTTTATTGATCGCCCACGCAGGGCAGGGGAGCTTAACCCGAAGGATTTAATACCCCTCACTTCCGGGGACTGGGCATCTCCCACAAGAAAGCATCAGTCGCCTCGTCTGCGGTAAAAGACGCTCGATCTGTCCATGCGCAAGTAATTTTAACCGACACGCGTAAAGGTGAAAGGTCTCGCACGTCTACTCTCTCGAGCGAATTTGCAGCATTCTTGACAAAAGCCTGACATGAAGAGTACAGCACGCCATCGTAGCGTCTATTTTAGGTACGCTATCGATGGAACGCACCAGAAAAAAGTTGAATTTTCATAAGTTAATCAGCATTTAGCATCCTACTACCAGAAAAATGCGATTAAACATGTATTGAGCCTGTTTGAGAGTTCGGAGATGTTAAATTGTTAATAGTTTCTGTCATAAGCCCATTTTAAATCGAAAAACATCGAATTTAAAACAGATAAGGCTGTTGTTAATGAGATTGTCTGGCATAAGAGAAAATTCTCGAAGCTTATTTTGGGCCGAATATCTTAGCTTTGCTGTACAAATCCTGTAAATCGGATAAAAGTGCTCGAAAATAGAAAGAGAGAAATAATTCCTTTAATTCACTCTCTGTGTACAGTTTGAATTTGAAAAATGTTGACATTGGATTGACTAATCATTAGTTGATAATTTGATAATTTTATTTTCAGTCTAGTTAAGTCCATAAACAGGATAAACCCAACAAGATCAAAATCAAAATACTGTGGTGTGAGATATAATACAAAAGTTAGCTTTTTCACGTTTACGTTTTCGTGAATATTATCACGTTCGTATCAATCGCGACTGTAATATTGAAACGTGTCAATCAGCTATGTTCTGATACTTTGACGTTTATCGACCGACGTTTTTAATTAACCTTCGGTAATCATTTGTGCTAACGGAGAGTAAAATTGGTTTGAGTGAATAGGGAGTTCGAGTTGACAGAGTTACTTCGAGTTAGTTGATCGTAAATGACTGGAAAAATGGGGTCAAATGTAAAGCAAATCAGATCTTGTTCAGTTCGAGTCAGCGGGGGTTGGTGTCAAATGGATTCGAGTTAGCGGGGTTCCACAATTTTTCACAGGAAATTTCTCCCTCACACGCCTAAGGTAGAGACAAGTTGTGCGGAAGGGGGAAGCCTGGAGGCAAAAAGGAGTGGAAACCATGAAAAAACGCAAACCAGATTGTGGGGCGTCGCGGCTTCGCGGTTTCTTTCTCGTGGCTTCTATAGGCCGCACAACGTTTCAAAGTGCGCACAAAACCCGTACCGCCCGCGCGCTACGCAAGCTTAAATCCCAAAGGAATCTGGGGCGTTAAAATTAATACTCCAGTGAAAATAATTCATCCATTCTTGACATCCAACCAGCAAACTTCATCTTGCTTGTTCGCTGAGTATGAATCTACGTAATTTGAAGTGACAACTCCCTGCGTACTCTTTTCAAGACTTTTCCTGTTCTTTGATGGAGCGTAACTTCTACAACTTTGCGTTTTTTTTCCGTGAAATTTCTTTAAGAAAAATACAATGCTCAATTATTTCTCGGAAAGGTACTATAACGTTTCCAAAACAACATCAAAGCCTTCTGAAAACTCCCCTATTTTGTGCTAGCACGATCACCGATTTTTTTCTAATGGATTGTAATTAGCATATTGAGTTATCTCCTTTTGTGAGGCTACATAAAAATCTGTGCATACAGTTCAGAGCCACCTTAACTTTTTGATAATCAAGAGGCAGAAAGATGTATAATGGTATGCTGATGGTAATTCAATACTGATATAGATATTTGGGGCCGGGGGCTCTATTGAAGTCGTTTTAGACAACGAGCAGTCTCTTCTTTCAGCGAAGTTCGTCGCACGAGTAAAAAGAATCAGCGAAAAAAATTGATGTCAACGCGCTATGCGGAACTCTAAGAGTGAGGCGCACTTGTAGATTGCGCGCACTAACATCGATTTTTTTTTTCCTGAAGTTTTTTTTTCTGCTCAACGGACTGCGCAGAAAAGGAGGGACTGAGCGTAGTGTAAACTCGTTTTTGAGCTCTAGATACCTAAATAGTTTAAGGGTGTTTCAGTGAGCCAACTCAATAAACACAGTTGTAAAAATGATCTTCATTTGTTAACATTTTTGTTGCAAACGAATTTAATCGTTTGAGGTTCCTAAAATACACACACTTAAGACCAACACGTCAATAGTTCCTTCTTTTTTTAATTTTTGTAGTTGCAAAAGAAAAAGTCGAGATTCTGCTCAAAGAAAACGAAGCTCTTAAAAATCAGCTCAAGCAACGAGATGAACTGCTTACGGAACACGCCAATAGCTCGATTGTTGATGATGAGTCTGCGCCAATGACGGAAACTGCTGACCCACGGACGCCGGACAACGTGAGCAACGCGTTCTTAGAGATCTTGAAAAGAGAGAATAACTCTTTGATAAGTGAGAATGAAGAGCTTAAAGTCCAAGTTGAGCATTTGAAGATTCTACAGCGTGAAAAGGAGAAAGAGCTGGAGAGGGTGACGCAAAAGCTAACTGCTTCACAAACCGAGTGCGAGAAAAAAGCGCAATTGTTGAAAGCTCGAGAGAAAGAGTTTTCTAAATTGCAAGACAAGCTTGCAAGAACTGAAGCAGACTTACAGAACAATCAAAGCAGAGTGGAAACTCTAGAGGAGAAAGCCAAACTGCTCCATGAGGGAATTCAGAGCGAAAAACGCCAAAGTGAAAACAGCAAAGAAGAGATTACCACAATAAGAACCGCGCTTCTGGAATCCGAACGTAAGATCAAAACTTTGGAGACGGATTTGTCTCAACAATCAGACAAAATGAAAGTTAAGCGGGAGAGAATAGAGACTTTGGAAGAGGAGAACGTGCAAATGACACAAGAGCTTGATTCCTTGAAGCGTCAGAACAACGCCACGACAGAATCTTACCTCGCCACAACTAAGGTATTGAGAGAGAAAGATCACAGAATTGAAGAACTCGAAGAGGACAACAAAGAAAAAAAGAAGCAACTCAGAGTGTTTGGCGAAAAGGTTGAAGTTCTTACCTCGCAGAACAACCGCTTGATGGAGGACCTTCGACAGGCAGAAGAGAAGTTTGCGAATGCTGATAGGTCGTACCGACAGGTTTCAAAGGCGTTGGACGATTGGAGGAAAATGATAGAAGAACCTGGAAATGGAGCAGATCTCTGGGATGGAGAAAAATGCGAGGGACTGGGGAAGAGCAACAGAGTTGACCGGGAGGAGATTAGTGAAGAGCAGAAAGAAGAAGATGAGGTGGGTGGCAAAATGTTGTAAGACCAAACAACTAGCTTAGTGGTTATCAGCAAAAAAAGATGAATCACTAACTCATGGGAAAACCAATGAGCTACAAGTCAAAGTGAGGGAGAAAAACGCGGTTGTGATCATCATATTGGCTTCAAACTTGCACTTAACTGACGTTGTTAAAAATATTTCCAATTTAGTAAAAAAGACTACAGCAAAAGCTTTCCAAGTAATCCGTTGATACCAAAGCGCGTCGGGAGTAGTTGCTCTTCAAGTTTCATAAATGCCTGTGTTTTAATTTAGTAATTCCAGAGTATAAGAGAGCAAATGCGATCAAATATGTCTTTCTGGCCGAGGAAACTTACTGATCGTTCTTATTTTGTACGAGGTTTGCATAAATGGCGTAGTTACGAAATAACTTAAATCAAAACGCCTTCTTCCACCAGGGAAGGGCGAAGACCTCCTTAAATCAAAGGATTATTGACATTAAAAAAAAAGGATAACTGAAATGGAGCAATTATTTCTCTGTTTAATTGATGAAACAGAAGTTAAGTCAATATATACGATGAAAAATTATCAAATACTTGTGAAAAATTCTTGGCTGGTAGTGGCGTGGCGTGGCTAAATCGAGATATTATTTATGACTTTTTTTTTTCTCAGAAAAGCAGTATTTGCTCTTACTGCGACCAAATAACGGCGAAACTGAAAGAACAAGAAGATTACTCCAGTCTTAAGACCAGGGAACTTGAAGCCTGCATACGGAAACTTACGACCGAGAAGGAAGCGCTGGAGCGGAAAGTGGAAAAAGAACGGAGGAATAGTGAGGAGTTTACAATGCGAGTGCAGCAGATGGTACAGAAGATGGAAAATGAGAATAAAACGGAGAGGGATGACAACAGAAAGGAACAGAGGCAAGAAACAGAGGACTTCTTCATCATGTTCAAGAGATTTTTTATTAAGAATGAGGGCTTGAAGAAGCATGCGCTGAAATGCCTGTCCGACCTTGAACAGTTGCAAGAGTATCTAAGAAGTTGTGCAAGCGGAGTCAGAGAGGTTATTGGTCATGCGGATGAGCTTGAGCCGGTGGCGAAGCGAATATCGCTGCTAAAATCACTCTTACAGACGGTTGTGGACGAATTTGAGCGTCCACTGAAGGGAGAGGAAAGTGACACGGACGGGAACGAAGGTTCTCCGATGGAAGCGAACATTCGTGCTGAGTTATCGTGGGATGATTATGACAGAGAGGTCGCCTTCAAAGTATTTACAGACAACGTGGAAGACCTCATTCAGCAGATTGATAAAGGAAAGGAAATGAGAGAGAGAAAAGTCGAAGAGTTCCAGGAGGTTAAACGCGCTCATACGGCTCTCAAAAGGGTCAGAAAAAGGTCCCGACAAGCCATTGAAAGAGCTGTCGCGCGGAGTGAAATTGAGGACCTGTGCGTGGAAGGGCCGCCGGAGGACATTGAAAGAGGCTCCCAACGGACAAATACCCGGATGGAACGCTGGAATGGTTGGGACTTACTTAAGGTCATTAAAGATCTGCTTGAACAGAACCGAGAGGTACTGGAGATGAAAATGGATGAAAATTTTAATAGATTACAAAACATCGTTAAACAGCAACGTGTACAGGATAATGTGTTGTCGGACGAGAGAGGGCAGGAAATCGGCGGCGAGAGCGTCAGGGAGACCATGGATGGAAAATATGCCATAGGAGAACTGGAATTGGTTAAAAGAAAGTTGTCTGATGTGCAGAAAATTATAAAGCACCTCACTGGGTCACTGGTAGAGGTTGAACACGAAAAGAAGACTGTCGAGTCCCAGGTGGATCTGTTGAACGGAGAGCTTCATCAGAAAGAGTCGCAGTACGAGGCCAAATGCGAGGATTTGAAACGAGTCACGAAAACCGCTTCCGACCAGGAAGTTTCCTTCCGAAACCGGCTCCAACAAATTGCGTCGGAAAAAGATGAGATCAACTCGGAGCTACGAAGAATTGTCGGGGTACTCAAGGAGAGAGAGCTGGAACTAGTGGAGCGATCACAGCAGTTGAAACATTTGCAGGCCACGTATAGCGATAAGGAGCGATCAATGAAAAGCAAGATCGACGCGCTTGAGCAAGAAAACAACGGTGTATGGTTGGACTACAAAGAAGCTGATAAACGAGCTGAGATCAAAGAAAAAGAGTTTAAAGAACTTGCAGACCGGCTGAAGAAAAGTCAAAGATACATGCATTCCGTGTTTAGCAGCTTAACCAACATGGACGATGAATTGCAAAGAGCCAGAGATGTCGAAGTGTTCAGCGAGCAAGATTAAGAATTTAAATTATGATCGAATATGAAAGGTGGTTTACGTAGAACCCCGGGTTGAAAAAGATATTTAGCAATGTGATATACATGATTTTTTTTCTGTTCCTGAATTTATGCGTTTTTTTTCTTGTCTTTTCTTTTAAAAACGATTTGTCTTCGAATTGTGTAATACTGAACAAGACTGAAATGTAGATCACACGATGCCTTCCTTTTGTACCTTCTCTGTGTCTGTATATCACCGTTTATTTTCTAATTTTAATTTTTAGTAAGGCTACATTAAGTTTTCGTTCATTTTTCTTGCCTTTTTATTTGGTATAAATAAAGTTGAGAGGATACAATTCTTAAGGGCAACGCATTTCATACACTTATTCGTGTGTACACCACATTTCTACCGAGCGTCGTTAATTAGAATCCGCAGTCTTCACAACGACCAATAAGAGAACAGATAAACAGCACAAAAGGCAAATGAGAGTTCAGAGCAAAAACTTTCCAACTACCTACAACGCGACAAAACGCTAGCGAACGAGTAACCCTTAATTAGAACTTTGCATCTGATAGGTTGAGATGCGATTTTTTTAGACCAATCACAGTGCAGAGTAAAGTACAACCAAAATGACTCCTCTTTACTATCAAAACTCGACTAAGATTGCTTTGAAAAAAAAAAAAAAAAATCGCCACCAAGGTAAGTATCGAACAAACTTCTTGCTCGTAGAGTCCCGAAAATCGCAAAGGAGACGAGGATTCCTTCCGTAACCGTTTTAAAGTGCTCAGTTGCGTCGGAAAAAACCCAAATAAAGTCAGAGCTACGGAAAATAGTCCAAGCACTCAAGGAGAATGTGTCAATGAAAACTAAGCGTGGGAAAAAGACTGGTTAGAATTTTGTATCTGATTGGTAGAGGATGGCACACTTTTTCCGGAGATACCGCTGTACCGCGTAGTAATGAAAAATCAACAGGAACCTAAATATGTCTTCAAAGGAGAATTTCGTTCGTTCATTTTTAACAAGAGCTACGCGAGCTGGAGCCAAACACAGAGGCTTAAGATCGTACTCATCTTAAAAAATTGAAAGTAATATTTGTAACGATTTCACATGTCCACTAGTTGGTCTTTTTTACAGCCATAAGACTTTAAAACATCGGACCCGGTCTAAAATGAGGGTCCCCGGGCGGGGGTCTCCCTGGGGGAGGTGCCCCAGGAGGAACCATGTTTGTTACGCCTCTAGGTGGAATCCAGTCTCTCTCTGCCCGCCCTGGAGGTGGCATCCATTCCCTTTCTCCTCTAACAGGAGGGCCTCTATCACCCGGGATCCATTCCGCCTCGGCTCGTGGTGGTCCAGGGAATCTTCCTGGGAAGCCGGGCCCCACTGGTCTAGGCCCAAAGCCTTCGTCAATAGGTGTAGGGGCCATTGGCCGCGGCACTCGCATCTCCTCAAATCTTGGAGAGGGTCCTTGCTCAGGTCGTGGAAAGGCTCCTTGAGGGACATGAGGTATAGGGGCTGGTGCAGGAGCTTGAGCAGGGAAACCACTGACTACCGGATGCTGCTGGCGTGGCCCCTCCAGGAAGAACGTTTCACGTGGGATAGTAGGCACTCCAGGGAAATGTCGTGCGTCCATCACGGGCACTGGGGCTACGTTTCCAAAAGGTCTTTCACTCGGTAAAATAGGGTGAGGGGGCACTGCTGGCAGGGGCTCACGCAATGGGGCCGGAAAAAAGGGTGCTACCTGAGGAAACATGGCGCGTTGTATCTCATTCTCAGCATCTTCACCGCCATCACTCTCCCCTCCCCCCTGCTCTCTCTGATGACGTCTTTTGATGTGCGACTGCAAGTCTCGCTGGGAGAAATAACTTCGACGGCATCCTGAGATTCCATAGCGGCTTCCGCCTACTGAACACACGTACACACTGCCCAGCGGTGCTCGTTCAATCCGCTGAACACCATCACCGCACCTAAAGCAGAATTGGACAAGGGTAAGAAAATTGAAACAAGATATGTTTGGCCGAGTTTGGCTGCTGGCGAGAAAACCTATTCTTCCCTAGTGACGACCATTTAAATCAAGGATCTTCTCAGACGGGCCACATGAGTTTCAGTAACGAGAAAGTTAAATTTTCATCGTCCCAACAGTACACCATCCCATGACAATAAAGATATTCTACACAAACCTTGGACACTTTCCATTTCCCTTTTCAGCACAATTCAAACAGAAGGAGTGTTTACAAGGACTCTAAAGAGAAAAAAAAAATGACAAGAGACATATTCAAGGTGTCAGTACATTAACCCTTTAAATCCCAGAAGTGATCGAAGTGTAAGTTCTCCCCATAATATCCATACATTATGAAGAAAACAGGTAACGAGAATACTTATCAGGTAGAAGTAGCTATCCTTATCTAACACCAAATTCTCATAACTAATTTACAAGGAAATGAGAAGCACTTAGAGAGCAGAATTAAAAATCAGATCTTGGGAGCTACTCATCAGTACTTTTACATGGTATCATATATGATATTTTTGACTTGGTAGAAACCCTAGTCTGTGACCATTCAAGTGAGAACCCAAAGCAGAAGTTTCATGTGCCACTGTTCATTATGCAATACAAGGTGGGTAAAACTTTCAAGGCTGTGGATAAAACCCTGGTGCACGTGCCTCTGAACAGATATGTCTTATGGATCTATTTATCAAACAACACAAAGTAACTGTAACCTTTACACTTCTGAATACAACCTTAGTGTCTGACCATTTAAAATATGTATTTTAAGCCTGAAAAGGACTCTCGTCACCCACTGACCAAGCAAAATTATACAAGAATTGTCTTAGTCCAATTTGAATCCAGGGAGAAAATGTGAGATAAAAGAAAGTCATGCACTCACCAGTCGACCATAAACAAGAATAGGCAATGCACATTTCTCACAAAGATGAAGAAGTGGATCTTGTACTTTTTGCCCAATAGGGACGATCTGGAATGGATACACATGTGTGTTTTAAAATGGAAAGAACAAAAGTGAACCTAAAACGAACTGGAATTATGGTAAAGCTTTTTTTAAAGAATGATCTCTGGCCAAAATGGTTAAAAATTCATGAGCCTTTGACTACCTGAACTGCAGTCTTTGACGGGTGAAATGTGAATGACAGGAAGTCAAAAAATTTGTCTAGAATTTCATTATTGGATGCTCTTTAAAGAATAGAGAGGGCTTTTGAACAAGGAATAAAGAGACCCAGATCAAAATTTAACCTTGGATTAGCACTAATTGGCCTGCGAAACACTGAGCCCAGGGTTCCCAAAGAACTTGGTATAACTATGGCCCAATCACAGATGAATCCTAAATCATGTGATCAGATGTCAGTTGAGTGCTTTTCTCATCTTTACAACTGATTCACCCCCCACAAGCTCAAGCAAACTTTTTCCTGTAGTTAGCATGAGTTAGGACCAGCCATTTTGATATCCACAGTTGCTGTAGTGAAAGATCGGTCCTGAACCTAGACATGACATGATAGCCAAGGAGAAGCTAGAGAAAAAATGTATCCATATGTAAGTTTGCTGTTGAATGAGTTGCAAAATCCCAGCATGGAAGACCACACCTAAAAAGTTGCAACATCAGCCAGGTGCATTCTTACCTGGTGATCCCATTTGAGCTCTCTCATGACCACCACCTGCTGTGCTGGACCAGGAGACTTCTGTTTCTTCTTACTCTCTTTGTCACCTGAAACATGCCGAG